TCCTTCAGAATGGAGTCGCGAACAGTCCCCGAAACTGCTAGGAGTTCACCCACAGTGACGTCGACTGACGCGTTTTTCATTTTGTCGTAGACTGCTTCTGCTACAGCCTTCTTTTGAATCGGTGCACGCAACTGGTATTTATCTGGAACGCGCGCTTTTGAAGAATGTACTGGTTCTTGTAGAACGGGCTTGACTTTCTCAAACGGTAGTTCCTTTCTGTTTTCGACGTTGTCGCGCACTGATTCCTCATCATCGTCGCTATCACTAACTTCTTCAATAGTCACAGGTTTTCCCGGTTTCTCTCGTCGCTCAGCTCGTTTATCATGGTCCTCAGAGGGCTTGGCTGAGTTTGTGGGTTTAGCCCCCTTCCTTGAACCATTTAGAAACCCGAGTTGTTATCGTCGCGCTCAGGTTGGCTATTCGCACCACGACGGGTTTGAATGAACTGCTCCTGAGTCTGAGGATAACCACTGTTCATGTTGTTGAAGTAGCCGGCCATGGCGTCGGTCATGGCTTTCTGCATGAATTGGCCCATGGCACTTTCCATTGCATTGCTGGTTGAACCAGATGCAGTTCGTTGAGTCTTTGGCTCAGCGCGACTTTCTGGAGTTGGCCGCGACGACTTCCTCTCATATTGGATGAGTTGACTACGAAGGGAGCGTATCTCATCTGCCACTTCTTCAGGGTAGTCGGACATATCATCATTGTCGCGACTATCGAACTGATCCAAGTAGTAGGAGTCCTGGAAGTTGACGGATTTGCCCTTCTTCTTCCAGTAAGCCTCTACTCGTTGTCCCTGAGTCCCTTCTCCATTTGGTAGGAAACTGTCGTCGAAGAGCCTCCACATCCCTTTGGTGTCGACTTTGAGAAGGTTTTTCTCAATGTGAGACCTCTTGAGCGGGCACTCGTTCGACCAATGACCAGTTTGTCCACAGTAGCGACAATCGTCGTTCCGTGCGGCAGCTCCTCCTTGTGCGCGACTTTCAAAGTGGGGCACAGAAGAGTTGTTGCCTACTGGCCGCGACCGCTGTATGGGCGCTTCGCGAGCAGTCTGTACGAACGTCTTCAGCGCTTCCTGCAACTGAGTCTGGAGCTCTTTTTGGTGTAGAAGAAATGAGTCCTTCAAGTTGGAAATCGAGTTTTCCAACTCCTCAACCTTAGCATGGTTGGGTGGACTAGTCTCATAGTCGAAGCGAACCTTAGGAGGTCGCGCGATTATGGGAATTTCGTCTTCGTTGCTCAACGTCGACGCCATTTCTTCCGCCATTGTCATTAGTTCTTCCAACTGGATGGGGTCGTCCTGCCGATTGACTCCAGTCGCGGGGACATTAGCGTTCACTATCCCGGCGCGAGTTTGGTAGCGCTTGTTGAATACCTGACTCGTAGCCAAAGCATTTCGCAAGACGGTACTGAACTCAGAGTCCAAAGTACGCATGTAGCGTTCACACGCGACTTTGTTGGTGATAATGGCAGGAGGGACTGACAGTCGCTTGTAGTGACTATACATTTGAAGGCCGAAACGCTTCAAATCTCCCTCATCCGTGATTTTGATTCCACGGTTCTCGCGACAGAGTCTATCTAGATCCGCCATGGTCCCCGTTTTTCGCTTGGACACCTCAGGGTATCCTTTTAATATTTCGGCCTCGAATTCCGCGACAGTTTTCGTGTCGTCGGAATAGGTATCGAGACCTTCCCATACGTCCATCACTTGCCGCGACGGCAAATAACGGATGTACATGCTTTTTGCTTGTTTGACATCTGTGATGCCACCATCCTCCACGATCTGCGCGCAGTGACGCAAATATGCCTCAATCGACAGGGGATCCTTTTCATCAAGTATGGGTCTACTCGTGTCCCAAGGTTGAGGGATTTTGAACCCAGTCTTTGGAGCCATAGTTGTCGCGACTGAAGTCACAGGGGAAGTAGGGATGTTGTTAGAATTCGTGTTTGTAGCGGTGACGCTACTTGACAATTCTGAGAGGGTTTGGGAGCTAGTCTGAGATCGACTGATTGTCGTCGAACTCGAAGTAGCCGTGTCTAAAGCTGGAAGCTTCGACGTCGAATTCACTCTTTGTTTTCCTTTTGCCTTGGAAGGCAAGGGTGGTAGATACAAAGGTGTTTTATGTCTTGCAGACCTTCGTGGTTTTTCGAAAGGTCCTGAGGTTGAAGCGTTCCCTTCAGTCTCAATCTCCGCTTGGTCCTCAAGAGGTCGCGCAGGAGCTTGGGATCGAAATAAACTGCTTCGCGGGATAAACCCTTGGTCTCTATCCGACGTCGCGGTAAAGAATCCGGTTTATTGATTTTTAAAGTTTATGAAACTTTTTAGAAGCCCCTCGCGGTGGGCTCCAGATGAAATGCTGAGGGCGTGCTCACTAGTGAATCTACTATGAAAGTAAACCCAAATATAAACACGTTCACACTCCTCGTAATCAGCTTCTCAGTGTGTGAAAGATGCGAGGGCTTCGGGGCGGACAGAGCACCAGAATCACAACTCTCAATAGACGCAGATCCAATAGTCGCGGAGACGGAGTCGACGACAAGAATATATATATAGCAAACAATGGTGTCTCAACCAATATCTTCTATACGACCACAACCAACACTAATCCAATCCACAACAACAATATAACAAGTCAGAGCTTAATCCGAAGTATTAAGATCCCTTGTAGCGACAGCGTCCAGATGGTGACGCAAAGCCTAAATATCAAGTCGACGCACTGCCAACTGATACAACCAATATACTGAGTCGACGCACTGCCAACTAGTAGAACCAAAATGTCAAGTCGACGCACTGCCAACTGGTAGAACCAAAATGTCAAGTCGACGCACTGCCAACTGACACAACCAAAAGTACTGAGTCGACGCACTGCCAACTAGTAAACCAAAAGTACTGAGTCGACGCACTGCCAACTAGTAAACCAAAATGCCGCGTCGACGCACTGCCAACCGATACAACCAATATCCAATGTCCAAAACCCGAGCACAACTTGTCGACGCACTGCCAAGCAAGAAGTGTGGAACCAAAGTTCTCAAGTCGACGCACTGCCAACTGACCAAAACAACCCGAGCACAACTAGTCGACGCACTGCCAAGCTAGAGGTGTGGAACGATCTCAACAAAGCCCGAAGGCGACGACACTAAATGCCGCGACTAAACCAGATGCGGCGAATCCGACTTTCTGATGTCTCAACTCAAACTCAAATCACAGTAGCTACAAGTGCTCAGGGAGCAACTCGTCGCGACCGGGCAGGGGTAGCAGAACTTCTTAGGGTGGAATCACGCGGCACGCAAATTGTACAAAACAATCTGAAATGAGAGTGATTCACAGTCCGGGGGAAAGCTTTTTTAATACAAAGAGACGACGTGCTACTTATACTGTCTACGACGCTGCTTAGTAAAGTCCTGTACAACTGCATAGTAGCTACGCTATCTAAGATCGGTTGCCTTTTAGGGTAATTGAAAAGTTGAACGATCGGACAGGTCCTGAGTGATCAGGACCCCGCCCCATTGTCCATATGATACTTTTGATGTGGGTCAACCCACCGCGTCATACTTTTGGAATACGACGTGTTGGATTGGCCAACGGGTATGTCTTGGCAAGTGAGACCAACGTGGGCGCCCCAAGAAGCCGTATGGCCCTAGGCACACCAGTCGTCCCCCACATGGTTCGGTTCACGGATCTAGCCGTGTCGGTTTCTAGTGTGTTTGGGTATGGACGCGACTCGCCGTGACACTTGGAAGTGTCACCGCGACGCGTCCACAATGTCCCGTGATCGAATGGATCCTGACATGTGACAAGTCGTCGTCGTGGCATGATCTGAGGAAACGTCCAACTCAAAACCGGGAGTTGCCGCGACAAGATGGTTTAAGTCTCGTAACGCCAAGTCCTGTCCAGTGGTAGTTCTATTATTGAGAACGTCGCGCATTGCTCAGCCCTTCAGCCCAAGTTCCCATCTGCAGAGAATGACCCTTTTCGAGAAGTCGACGCAACGACAGATCCCTTTTTGGGGAATGATCGCGGTCCAAGCGTTCGTCACTAATGGCCCTGAGCCTGGTGTAGACCCATAAGACCAGTTCCACAGTAGTGGTCTGACTGCCTTGCTATCGTCGACACTATCCACAGTCGTCGACTGGGCAGTAGACCCTTAAGTCCTACTGAGCGCAACACTGTCAACCGCGACACGATACACCGAATGGTTCAAGAGTAAACTCTGTAAAAAGCGCAAAAATACGCCCTTACAGAGCTGGTGCAGAGCGCGTCTGGTAGCCAGCCTATCAGCGTGTGAGGTGGAGGCGAGGGTGGTTGTTCGGAGGGCAGTTCGTCGAGGTCGGGGATCTCGTCTTCAGGCGGTGGGAGGGCGAGGTAGGGGTCGGAGGGCCCGGGTTGGTTTTGATGCGCCAGATCGGGCGACGATGGTACGATGGGGGGAGGGGATGGACTCCCAGACGACGATGGGAATCGGTACGAAATGGTGGATTCGTGTGCTGTACAAGCACCCGAGGAAAGGTTCTTTTGCTAGCAAAAAGATCCCGGCCTAGCTCTTCACGTGCCCGATGATCCCGAGGTGCGTTTTCCCGAAGGTCTCCGCAGCACTCCTTGTAGCTACCGTAAGGCTTGGGTCGGGCTCAACGTTACCCGTGGCCTGGTGCTGTTTGCTCAATATGAACCTTTCACTGCGATCGCAGCGAGCGACTAGATGATTCGGTAAAAGGGTGAGTGGGGTGATAAGGGTGAAGAGGATATAGCGGGCGTAGCGGTGCGGGATGCAGGGTAAGAGGTATGCGGTAGGAGGGTATGAGGGGAGTCTTCGAATTATGTGACAATCAACCCAAAAACAAAGTCGAAAAGAGAAGTGAATTCGAAGACTGGAGAATACAACTAGATAGCTACAGTATTTATACCCAAATCCAGTCTGAGTCATATCTACAACTAATGAGTCATAAGACTATGTACCGCATGGAACGCTGGTCATGGGTTGTAGTAGAATCTTCCGGAGCATATGTCGTGCAGCCTCGAATCGATAGAGATAACCCCTGGAACCCCTAGCCCGGACTGTCTGATGCCGTGATCCGTGATAAGATAAGATCGTCGATGATAAGATGAAAAAGTGGTCGAACTATGACACACGGATTCCATAGCTTCCATCTACAAAAGTTCCCCCGCACATGCGGAGCCATCTCCATCAGTCTCGATGACAGGACCTTGCCAGGCGTCCATGTCAGATGCACCCCCCGCTGCACCCCCTGCTGGGCATCCCGTGGCACCCCCCGCCGCACCCCCCGCTGCACCCCCCGCTGCACCCCCCGCCGCAACCCCCACCTCGTTCATCCCTGCCAACCGCACCATTGAATCTGATGACCAGTTTTCACTGATTCCTGGATCTGCAAATAGAGTCCTACAAAGTCGGTGTCCTTCGTGCTTCTCCCTGAAGGAATGGGGCCGTCCACTTGCTATGTTCGATTTTTGTTCAAACCCTGATCAGCAGTGACTGACATGTTTTGCTCAGTGGTGGGGATGTACAGTTTGGTGCTGATGGTTGCTTCAACTATCGCCATCTCCGCGCTGCTGGCAACGGACCGTCTTTGTTCAGTCAGGAGTACTTCTTGACACCTGAAGAGGTTCACAAGGTCAAAGAAACTGTGCTTTTGGCAAGGAAATCTCCGAAGCCCCTAAAAGAGTTTCCAATTTCTGCTGATATTGTGGAGGCCTGTGGAGAGTCATGGACTGCTGCAAATGAGAACAAACAAAAGGGGGACCCAAAGCGCTATGACTCCACTGGCATCTTTGCACTGACATGTCGTCATTCGCAAGTCCTGTTCATGTGTGACATAGACACACCAGGAGAGCAGCAGCACTACATAATTGCGCTCTTGGAGAAGGTGGCTTCACTGCTGCCATCCAATGCGACCATTACACAATGCTATGATATTGGTTGTGTTCTTGACCGGAGTAACAATCTGGTGCGTGCATTTCCATTCATGGACTGCTTTCTCCGCCACCATCACATATCTTAACCCGCTGCGACCCCGCGGCGACCCCTGCCGCACCCCCCGCCGCACCCCCTTCTGCACCCCCTCTTGCACCCCCTGCCGCACCCCCGCTACAGAGTCCATAACAATGCTGACTATTCTCTGAAGTTCCCTATCCTTTCTGCCCATCTGCGATCTCGTGTATCATTCTCTCTGAATGTGATGCATGCATTTGGTCATCAATGGGTCTGCCAATTGATTTTCAACCCACGCATGAAGTCGGGTATGGGTCTTACTGATTCAGAAGGTGTAGAAAGACTTTGGTCCAGGATACGAAGGTTAATTCCTCTGACTCGAAATCAATGGGTATCTTCTTTAAATCCTTTTTTAATCGAGGATTCTGAAACATATGCAGGCTGCGCGTCGAATAGCCACCCTGGATGAATTTGTTTCATTTGTCAATCGTGAAGGCATCACCAGTCTGGGGAGTTGGATTGAACGGCAACGAAATAAGAACATTCCACAGAAATATAATCAAGCAACACGACGGATCAGCACTGCAGGCGTGACCATTGTGGATTTGCGATCTCACTGGCAGGCTCAGCTGACTGCCCAGGTATCACTTCAGTCCAGTATATCATTTCCCATCATAAAAAATTTGCTCTCAACACGGTGTTACAGGCCCACCTGTTCGTGTCCAACGCGAGCTGGGCAAGATAGTCAGCCTTCAAAATCAAATCGAAGATATCGATGACACTCTGGAGCAACTCCAGAAGACCATTGACGATCGACAGAGCTCTAATTCAGCGCACATTGCGATCAAAGATCTGCAATGCACTCATAGCAAGCTTAGTGAACAAGCTGTGCATCTGTACACTTCCCTTGACCTGGAGACTCATTACCCAGAACTGGCTGGACTTCCCTTTGAATTTGTTCAAACACTGCTGCTGATGAGGGATCTCAAAATACAGATACGAAAACAAGCGATTGGAACATTCCTAGAATGGGAGAATTTGGACCGTGCTGTCCAAGGACGTCGGGAGCCACTGGGTAAGTTCCTTTCCATGCACCCTGCGCGCACCCCCCGCCGCACCCCCCGCCGCACCCCATGCGCACTCGTCACAACACTGACATGTTTCCATATGTAATCTAGGTACAAAGCTTCATCAAGCAGCTCGGAAGGCCCTTTCAAAACGTCAGCCCACGCTGCATTGTCTAATCGACAAGTTCAACTCCTTTTGCTCTCGACTGGAAGAAATTCAGCCCCCACACTGCTCTGTTCCTATCCCTCTCCCACTGCCTACCAAACTGAACGAGCTTAAGTCTCACACCAACCTCTTCGAAGATATATGGATCACTCCCTCTGATGGGGGTGTTCCATTGTGGCTGTGTGATGAGAATGTCCGGCAGGGAATTTCCAGTCTCCATGTACTTGATCGCTGTCATGAGGAAGACCTCCGCCTGTCCCGAGAGAGTGAAAATATGCTACGCTGGATTGATCAGGAGTCTTTGCTGCTCGCGTCGGCCAAAGAGCGCCACTCGAGTGCGTTGCTGTTTATTCTGTGACAAGTTTCCTGACATTTCTGTCATAGTTCGGCCACTTTTTCATCTTATCATCAACGATCTTATCTTATCTTGGCACGACTTATCTTATCACGGATCACGGCATCAGACGGTCCGGGCTAGGGGTTATCTCTATCGATTCGAGGCTGCGCGACATATGCTCCGGAAGGTTCTACTACAACCCATGACCAGCGTTCCATGCGGTACATAGTCTTATGACTCATTAGTTGTAGATATGACTCAGACTGGATTTGGGTATAAATACTGTAGCTACTTGGTTGTATTCTCCAGTCTTCGAATTCACTTCTCTTTTCGACTTTGCTTTTGGGTTGATTGTCACATAATTCGAAGACTCCCCTCATACCCTCCTACCTCATACCTCTTACCCTGCATCTTGCACCGCTACGCCCGCTATATCCTCTTAACCCTTATCACCCCACTCACCCTTTTACCGAATCATCTAGTCGTCCTCCACTATCGCAGTGAAGGGTTCATATCAAGCAAACAGCACCAGGCCACGGGTAACGTTGAGCCCGACCCAAGCCTTACGGTAGCTACAAGGAGTGCTGCGGAGACCTTCGGGAAAACGCACCTCGGGATCATCGGGCACGTGAAGAGCTAGGCCCGGGATCTTTTTGCTAGCAAAAGAACCTTTCCTCGGGTGCTTGTACAGCACACGAATCCACCATTTCGTACCGATTCCCATCGTCGTCTGGGAGTCCATCCCCTCCCCCCATCGTACCATCGTCGCCCGATCTGGCGCATCAAAACCAACCCGGGCCCTCCGACCCCTACCTCGCCCTCCCACCGCCTGAAGACGAGATCCCCGACCTCGACGAACTGCCCTCCGAACAACCACCCTCGCCTCCACCTCACACGCCTGCCCCTACCATGTCAGGGCATCACCGCATCACCCTCGCCGCCAACCCCCCCTACTTCGATGGCGACAAGTCCAAATACCTGGGCTTTGTGGACGCGTGCACCACTTACATCGGTGCCTATCGATCGGAGTTCTCACAAGATGAGACCAAAATCCTCTTTGTCCTCTCCTACCTCCGTAACGAGAACGGCACGAGCTGCGCTGCCTCGAGATGGGCGATGAACTGGAAGCAGCACAACTTCGATGGCTTCCAGGGACTGAAGGCAGGAGTCACATCAAAGAACTTCCTGGAGGAGTTTCAGAGGGCGTTCGGGGACTCCAATGCGGAACAAGTCGCCGCTGCTCGGCTTATGGCCCTGCGTCAAAACAAACGGTCCTTCGCGGACTACATCTCCGACTTTGAGATGTTGGCCGCGGATGCAGGCTACAATGTGGTTGACACCACCGACGACAAAGGCGAATACAAGAAGGGGGACCAGGATAATATCCTCATCGAGTTCCTGGAGCGCGGACTCAGCAGCGAGATCGCCAGCCGTCTCTACAACACCGGTGTCCCTCTGCCCAAGGCCTATGGAGCGTTCAAAGCCTGGTGCATCAACATCGAAGCCAATGCTCTGCGTGACCAGCTGCGCAAAGCGTCGTATGGGCACCCCACACAACGACCACCTCCCCAGTTCCGTCCCCAAACGGCACCAGTGGCGCCCACACCCGCTCCGGCCCGACCCGCTGCCAACGAACCGGTTCCGATGGAAATCGATCGTACCCACGCCCGCGGCCGCAATATCATCTGCTACAACTGTCAACAGCCTGGGCACATTGCGCGGAACTGTCCGGAGCCAAGGAAGAAGCGCACATTCTTCAATCGGGCCACGATGCTGGAAGAGATCGAGAACGGGGACAAGGACAACGAGTTCCTCAAGGAGATCGCTGAGAAGCTGCGCGAGAAGGGTTTTTGAAGCGCTCCACTCCTCTAGCCAAGGAGGTGGAGCGTCCGGACTATGGACGATTTTCTGTACTTGTTTCGATTAAAGATACGGACAATATTTCATCTACATACACGATCTCAGACTCACTACGTACAAATATTCACGATTTTCTTGTTGCCGAGATGGAAAAAGAACGCCAGGAAAAGATAGCTTTAAATAGAAAATACTTACAAGATAAAAAGGATCAGAAAGCTGCAGATAAATTATTTTTAGACTCCTACGTATTTATGGCTCGTGGAGAAGGAACCACGTCAACAAAGACCGAAAAGGGGAGCATCGCTCCGAAGGCTCGATCCTTGGAAAAGGAGGAAGCGCCCAAGGAATCTGCCAAAATCGAGGTTCCAGAAGCACCCAAACGCACCAGGGTGCCAGACGCCATCCAGAGGAAATTGGCGACCGAGAAACAGAAGGGCCCCCAGCCCAGCAGATTGGCGCAGGAATTGCGCAGTTACCAAGCCGAAAGAAAGAGGCATTCGATGGACGTATATGTCCAGATCACGGGCCTGGACTCAGGGAAAACGCGTGGAGTCAAGGCGCTGCTCGATAGTGGCTGCAGTACCTGCTGCATCGACACCGACTACGCACGGGCAGAAAAGCTGGATATCCAAGAGCTTCCGCAACCCATTGTGGCTCGTAACGCCGACAACACCGAGAACATCAGCGGTCGGATCACACACTACGTCGACTTGAGAATGAGAATCGGCCCTCATGTGGAGACACGCACGTTCCTTCTGACGTGTCTGGGAAAAGCCCGGATCTTCATCGGCCTGGATTGGCTGACGGAACACAACCCCGAGGTGGATTGGCAGGAGCAGACAATGAGATTCAGCCGATGCCCAGAGCAATGTCAAATGAGGGGTCACGAGGAGCACCAAGCGATGATCGACATGGATGCAATTGACCTGGGCGCGGGTGCACCGGATCTGGAAGAGGGAGAATCGATCTTGTTGATCGACTTTGGAAAGGAGGTAGACCTACGGCTGAAGGAAACGCCGGCGCAGAAATTCGCAGAAGAAGCGGAAAAGGAGAAGGAGAGAATGACCGAGGGAAAGATTCCAGATCAATACCGAGAATTCGTCAAAGTATTCGCCAAGGAATCATTCGACTCGCTACCGGACCGACGGGCATGGGATCATGCGATCGAGCTCAAACCAGGCTCCAAAGCAGTGGACTGCAAGGTGTACCCCTTATCGAGAAACGAGCAGGTCAAACTCGACGAGTTCTTACAAGAGAACCTAGCCAGCGGACGAATCAGGCCATCAAAATCACCCATGGCATCGGCATTCTTCTTTGTCAAGAAGAAGGATGGCTCGCTACGACCTGTTCAAGATTACCGGAAGCTGAATGAGATGACGATCCGAAATCGGTACCCGCTACCGCTGATTTCCGAACTGGTCCACAACCTGTGCGGCGCCAAGTTCTTCACCAAGCTAGACATCCGGTGGGGATACAACAACGTACGGATCAAAGAGGGCGATGAGTGGAAGGCTGCGTTTCGCACAAACCGCGGACTTTACGAGCCCTTGGTTATGTTCTTTGGTCTCACAAATTCCCCGGCAACTTTCCAAAACATGATGAACGACATACTCCGGGAACTGATCAACGAGGGACATGTGGTAGTTTATCTGGACGACATACTAATCTTCACAGAAAATCTGGATGAACATCGACGAATCACCAAACGGGTACTCGAGTTGCTCCAAAAGCACAAATTATACCTGAAGCCGGAAAAGTGCGAGTTCGAACGCACGGAAATCGAATACCTGGGTGTAATCATTGGACACAACTCGATGCGGATGGACCCTGTCAAGATCAAGGGCGTGATGGAATGGCCGGAACCAAAGAGCGTCAAACAAGTCCAAGCCTTCCTCGGATTCACAAACTTCTATCGACGTTTCGTTCGGGGATATGCGGAGGTCGCCAAGCCGTTGACGCGGCTGACAGGGAAGGCAGGATGGTCATGGGGTCCGGATGAACATGCGGCGTTTGATGGGTTAAAGAAGAGAATCGCGGAGGATGCCGTCTTAGCACTGCCAAATGACACTGGCCAATATCGTCTGGAAGCCGATGCTTCGGAAGGGGCAACAGGATCAGTTTTGAGCCAAAACCAAGACGGCATTTGGCGCCCAATCGCATTTATTTCGCACGCATTGACCGAAACCGAGCGAAATTATGAGATCTACGACAAGGAGATGCTCGCAATCATGTTATCACTTGACGAATGGAGGCAGTTGCTCCTGGGAGCCACGGAAACGTTCGAGATCTTCACCGATCATCAGAATCTCGAGTACTTTCGGAAGCCGCAGAAGCTCAATCGACGGCAAGCACGATGGATCACGGAGTTGGCGGAGTTTGATTTCACCTTACGACACCGACCTGGCGCACTCAACCGCAAGGCGGACCTCCTGTCCCGACGAGCAGATCACGATCAGGGCAAGAACGACAACAAGGACGTCACGCTACTGAAGCCCGAGTTCTTCCGATCACAAGAAGTCACATTCGAGGGACAGGATCAGCAGCTAATCGACGAAATCAAGGCCATTCGATCAATTGATGGAAGCGTCAAGGCGGCCTTAGAGAAGTCACTCGCCGGATGGAAGAAGGAAGAGGGGCTTATCACGTACCATGGGAAGCTCTACGTACCAAGGGACGAGGAGTTGCGGGACAAAATCATCGGACTACACCACGACACCCCTTTGGTCGGACACGCCGGGATCAACCGAACGCAGGAGATGGTGGAAAGGAACTACTGGTGGCCAAGGATGGGAAACCAAATTCGGAAATACATCCAGACGTGCGAAGCGTGCCAGCGGACCAAGACCAGAAGAGCCAGGACAGGGAGTTTGCACCCGCATGCAGTTCCAAACGCGCCGTGGGAAATCATCTCCATGGATCAGATCGGACCCTTGCCGGTCAGTAACGGGTATGACGCAATTCATGTGTGGTGTGACACCTTCACCAAAATGATCCATGTCGAACCAATTAGTACTGACATCAGCAGCGAAGGAGTGGCACGATTAACCAGGGACCGAATCTTCCGCTATCACGGGGTCCCCCGCAAAATCATCACTGACAGGGACTCTCGATACATCAAGGGCTTTATGAAGGAAACGAATCGGATGTTGGGCGTGGAAATGAATCCGGGGACCGCATATCACCCCATCACGGATGGGCAGACGGAGCGTATGAATCAGGAGATCGAACACTATCTCCGCATTTACGTCAACTACCATCAGACGGACTGGTCGGAGTGGCTGGGAATGGCGGAGTTCGCATACAACGACAAAATGAACACGTCTACCAAAATGTCGCCGTTCTATGCTAATCACGGATATCACCCATGGAAGGGAGTGGAGCAGCGGATGGAATCAAGGAACGAGTCGGCGGAGGAATTTGTAAAAAGAATCAAAGAAATACAAGACGAAGCAAAAGCAGCATTGGAAAAAGCAAAAGAAAAAATGAAAAAATACTACGATAAACAAAGAAAAGAAGTTCCGGAGTTGAAGGTTGGGATGAAGGTGTACATAGAAGGGGAAAATATCAAGACGGATCGACCATCAAAGAAGATGAGCGACAAGAGATTGGGACCATACGAGATACTGGAGAAGGTTGGAGCGGCCGCATGGAAGCTGGATTTGCCGGACACGGACCGAAGACACCCGGTGTTCAACGAGTCACTGTTGACACCCTATCACGAACCACCCCCCCATCGCCGAGAGAAGAGACCCGTGGCCAAGATGATCGGAGGAGCAGAGGAGTGGGAAGTCGAAGAAATCGTGAAAGAGCGAAAAGTCGGCCGAGGAAAACAGTACTTGGTCAAATGGAAGGGATGGCCGCACAGCGAGAACACCTGGGAACCATCACGTCACCTTACCCACGCAAAGGACGTCCTGAGAGACTGGCAGAGGAAACAATCAAATCCAGACACACGCATTCGCCTCCTGCCAACGCTCGAAGCTGGACACTGGGACTATCTCATTCATCGCTACCAGCCCAGGGACGAGCGCCTTCCATACCCCCAACGACAGCTCTTCGACCCTTACGAGAACGTCTTCTTACCCATTGGCCTGGTCGATGAGGACATCGACCCTAGAGAGGGGGTAATGTCATAGTTCGGCCACTTTTTCATCTTATCATCAACGATCTTATCTTATCTTGGCACGACTTATCTTATCACGGATCACGGCATCAGACGGTCCGGGCTAGGGGTTATCTCTATCGATTCGAGGCTGCGCGACATATGCTCCGGAAGGTTCTACTACAACCCATGACCAGCGTTCCATGCGGTACATAGTCTTATGACTCATTAGTTGTAGATATGACTCAGACTGGATTTGGGTATAAATACTGTAGCTACTTGGTTGTATTCTCCAGTCTTCGAATTCACTTCTCTTTTCGACTTTGCTTTTGGGTTGATTGTCACAATTTCTTACACCAGATCATATTCTGCACCATGAGCTTGAACAAGAAGCCAAATTCCTCTCGCGTGTTTCTTCTAGATGGCGTCGTCAGTTGCAAATTCCACAACCTCTGCTTCTGGCCATTGATCCAAGGTTGACCACCCACTCGCAAAATTCTGCCCCCGCGGCACCCCCTGCGGCACCCCCCGCGGCATCCCCCGCGGCACCCCCCGTTGCACCCCCTGCCGCCGCTTTACCCTCTGACCCTGCCGTCAATTTTTCAATGGTTGAACCTGTTGAAGATGATATGAATGAGTCCCCATGGGCTGATTCTGAGAATATATCCCCGGATGAAGTTGAGGCCTGTCCTTCAGACTCCGAAGAGGCCCTTGCTGTAACAGATATGATGGAAACGGATGATGATGAAGACACAGCAACACTCGAGCGTGATCATTGCCATGTCCAAGTTTCCTGGGCTTCCCTTGCAAAAGTATGTGCTATGAATCCATGACAACGAATAATACTGATCGAGAATAGTCTCGATCCACTTGTGATACTCATTTCGTGAGA